ATCCCCGCCGTGGCACAGCCTTGCCTTATACATATTAGAGTGTATACGATAGTTAAGATCAAAAGGAAATCTACTATTTTTTCTCGAATGTTTATCAAAACCCACCTAAATCATTTTTATCACTAATCGGCAAACTTGCGGCCAATTGTTCAATTACATGCGGAGGGATCGCTCGAGTTTGCGGTTGTCCCGGAGCGTTGCTCGTGTGAGAACTCTCCTCGGCTGAAAACAATATTCTACTGTTATTTGAATTTTAAAGAGACTCGAAAACACATTCAAAGTTATAATCACCATTCATATCAATCAGAGAGAAAAACTCACTACTGGGTTTATAGGATTGATTGGAGGACATCGGCTGATATGAGTTGCATCCATCGGGGTTGTAGGTCAATTGGCTAGAAGAAAAAACACTCATGCATTTCAGGGGAAATTTGGAAAGAATTGGGGATGCCTTTTTCAAGGGAATTATTGAGCAGGGATTATCGGGAGAGATCACTGCAAACCTACCTCATAAACCTCATTTGTTGGTTGACAAGTCGCCCGACGGCTGATTGGCGAGTTCGGACATTTTTGTATGGTTGGAATAGAACAATGTAAACCTGGAATACAGGGGGATGAGTTGGGTTTTTTGAATTAGTGGAAAGAACTCATTATTGCATCAACCAACGAATATTCATCAAATGAGAGAATTGTTCTATAATTTTATGATGTTTTTAAAACGGTGAAAAACTTGTAGAAATCATGGATCTGATTCGAGAGTTTTCGAGAATGTATGAATGCAATGTGTTCAAAAAGTCCCCAAATGACATTACAACATTATGCAGTGGCAAAAATTGGTGGATATACCTTTTCAGCTTGGTTAAAATTTGTCCAATAACTGTAAAAGTTTGGGTAAAATTTAGCTAGCTAAACTTTTTAGTACACTTTCTTAATTTTTATTTATAGACAAAGAGTAGTGGATTACTCATGTTTAACGTTGATTAGAAATTGTTATGACAAAATTTGCTTTCGTTGACTGATTTCAGATTTTTAGATTTGAAATATTTTTTCACAGCCATTCCTAATCCTTCCAAAACTCACTTTTGGAGCAAAAAAGCAGATGAGTGCAACAGTTCCAGACAGAGAAATGCACATGCAGAGAGATGTGATTTGTATCTGAAAAAATACATTTCAATTTTTTTTCCCTACTGTGACAGGCTTCACTGACAGCAAACACCTTCCAAGATTTTCGAGTCACTTCTGTTCTCCGAATTTTTTCAGAAGGTACTTTAAAAAAAAAAGGGAAAAAATATAGGTTTTTAATTCAGAATAGTTATGTTTCGTTTCTGTCTTCAGACAGAAAAATATATTTTCAGAGTTTTTTTTATTAAGATCCTCATTTCCATAATTTCCTTTTCAAAAGAAACCAACTCACCCTAAAATCGCTCTGTGTCGCAAAATAGATGGGCCCAAAGGCGAGCCATAAAATACACGTTGAGTACATCGTAAACCCGATATGCCTAGTTTCGTTAAAGTTTTCTGGGATCTTCCGTGTCTTGAATGCATAAACAGTACAGGCAACAATGAGAAGGATATTGTAGAGAAGAGAAATCAAAAGATGCGATGTTGTGGCTTTGCAAGTGAGAACTGCTTCTGTTCTAGATGGAAAAACGACCATTGTGCCTGGTGGATCGAAGAACAGCCAAACGAAAGTTCCGATGAGTTGGACAGAGACGATTGCCATGCAAATACCGACCTGGAAAAAATGGGAATTGTGTTTTATTGAAAACAAGGAGGGGTATGAAAAAATCATTCATTTTACTAATTTTCTGAAAATGCGTTTTTAAAGTTTTGAGTACCAAACTATTTTCAGCTTATTGAGTGGTAACGCCTTGAAGTTTAGAATTCATAGATTTGACAATTGAAACAGGAATTAATGAGATAAATTTTCGCTTTTTATTTGTTTAACCAGCCTGTTTTCGGCGCCAGCCTGTTTTCGGCGCCAACCTGTTTTCGGCGCTTCAAACAGCTGGATAGTATCAGATCTATTTTTGTAATGTTCGTCTATATTTCGAAAAATGAAAACTCGGAAACTTCAAAATTCTAAACCTTTAAAGTTCCAAACATCATACATGTCACGGGCCGGATCTGGTCGGGTTGGTAATTTTCACTGGTCCGGCCCAGCCCGCCCAGCCCGGGTTTTTAAGATAACATTCTGTAAGAGTGATTTTTTGAGAGAAAACTGGAGTTTTTTAAAAATTTTATTCAAATTTCTTTTTTTTTTGGCGCTAAGAAGAGACATGGGAAAAATTTGGTAATTCAAAAAGATCTTTTTGAGAAAAATGTATCCTGAATCAACAGAAAAAAGTTCGAAATTTTTCTTTCGAGAGATTCGGTAGGTTTTGGAAACCCGGGCCGCATCTTGAAAACTCTGAAAAAGCCCAGCCGGTTTTCTGAAAAAGCCCAAATTTCGGAAAAACCCAAATTCTGAAAAAACCCAGTCCCGCCCTGTTGCAATTATGATAAAAACCGTTTTCTCATTTTTTTGACCGTCAAACCTATACCATAGTTTCAGCTCTTCGGACTTTCTATTCAGAGTCTTCAGCTTTATACTTTGGTTTTTTTCATACTTGCAAAATCAGTGCCGGGTCCGCGGGTTTGACCGGGCCCGTGACTCCCCGACCCATCCCGGGTTCCCAAAATTCGAATTGTCAGAAAAATCGACAGAAAAATCCATGTTTTATCTATTGACCCCGAAAAATTTTTTGAAAAGAAAGGAAACAATTTTCTGAAAACCCGGGCCGAGACGGGCCTGGCGGGGCCTTGAAAATTAGAAAAAAAACCCGACCCGGCCGGGCCGTTGCAAGTATGGTTTTTTTTCTTAATTGTTAAATCCCGGACCAAAGCAAAAATTTCCCGGGCCGGGCAGCGTTCCAAACAATGCAAAATTTTTCTGTTGATGTTGGATATCTTTGTTGAAACGACCATTTAAGTTTCGCAGCGCCATGAAATTTAGCCCAGATTCCTTATTAAAGCAAAACACAGAGAGACTTTAGAAAATACCAACATACATCTAATTTTCTCACAGAACATGTCTTTCAAAAATTTGCCTCGAACATACAGGCAGGGCGGGCCAGGCCAAGCCGGGTCAGTGAAAAAAAAGACTTTTTCGAAACCTTGATGTAACGTTGGAAGCTGGTTCATTTTCAATCGAAACGATATCGTTTTCCTCACTTTCGCGCCCTCCTTGAACTAATTTGCTAACCTCTTTGGAACCTCTAGTAAAAAAGCGTCAATAGGATCTGTGAAAGCGCGGTATATCATGAAATGCAGCAGCCGACAAAAAGCGGGCTCGCGTCAACTACTATGTTTTAGCAGCGGCAACCACAGCGCCTAGCAACTCGAATAGAACATCTACTCCTTCCCTCCCCCCTCTCTACGTGGCCGCATGGCGCAACTGTGTGCGTGAGCCGTTTTCGTGCGAAAGGTCGTGGGTTCACTTTTGGTGGCGGTCAACCTTTCATTTGAAAACCCAAAAGTCCACAGACTGACATGACGACCAACAGACGCGTCTAGCGTTTTATATATAAGGAAGATATGGGTCAGTAAGATTTCTCGATCTGTTTTTAATGGAATAATGAAATAATTATTTGTTTAACATGAAACAGAAAATTTGCGTATTCGAATTTTGTAGTCGAACATTATTCAAAGAAGTGTTTAATGAACCTTTAAAATAACTACCTGCGCTTTCGGAGTAATGAACCTCGGTCTTTGGGCAGAATCCGGCTTAAAAACTCTTGCTAATCGATTTGTCTTTGTAATGATTGCTGCATAGATAGCTGACATTGAAAGACCCATTAATATCTGAAATTATACTTTCTTCTAGAAAATTTTAGTTTTTATCTGTTACCCTAGTCAATGAGCAAGTGATAACCGTCGGTTGGGATACCAAGAAGAAAGTCAATACATAACACATTCCAATTCCAGACATCATACAGTAACACAATTCTCTTCCCGATGCCATAATCTGGAAATCATAGGATAGATAAATCTGGAGACGTAAAAGCTTACCACAGGTGTATTTGAGAATTTCAAGAAAACGGAGACCACGAAAATTGTTGAAGCGATGCCAAGAGTGGAGAATGCGGCTGGGATTAGTGACCAAGTGGTGTCCCATCTGAACAGAAATTTCTAGAAGTTCAAAAAAATAAAAGGAAAGCTTACTGCATGGAAACAGGTGGAATTGGCACACAGAAATGGAGAGTTCGATCCGGAACCATACCGATGGCACATTCCTCGCAGCTGGAATGAAATACTTAATATACAGTTCTTAGAATCAAATTTTTGTGTGATCCGAGAAACAGAATATTTTGAATTTTGAAATTTCAGAAGTTTTGATAAAACTTTCGGTTCGTTGCTAATGTGATAAACATTGCTCAACGAAATTGTAACCGGATTTGTTTGCCGTGATTTCCTAATTTGATCTTGAAATTGTTTCTGTTTTATGTGGATCACTTGTGGTTTTGTATTATTTGGCTTGGCAATCAACTCAGCACTGATTAAAAAATACAAAAAAGAAAGGTACCGTAAACTTCTCAATTTTTGCTGCTTCCGATAATTTTTCAGTCCCCAAACAGATCGCAAAATGAACATTTTTATAGGGATAAAATTGCCGGAAATCAAGAAAAAATGTGTATCAAAATATCTTTCAGGTTAGGGTAGGTTTTTCATACCAGTACGATACCGATGTCTATTCGAATATTCAGTGAACAGTTCACAGTCAAAGATCACAATGTGAAACAGTAAATGTCCCGTAAAAATCCCACTCACCTAGTTTCATTATGAATACTGGTTGAAGTATCACATGGAATACATGCCCAACAACATGTCTGATCCTGATACGCTCTATAATGCCCCCTCGGACAATCTGTGGAGCACAAACTCATTGGCTTCTCTCCGGGAGCTGTTTTAAATGCGTGCCTAATTTTCTCCACCTCCACGGATAAGAAATCATCGGTTGATCTCCATTTTCCAACTTTCTGATACACTCCATTCATATCCAATTGGAAAACGTCGTATCTTCCAATACCGTCACCATTGGCATCAATAAGAGCTGGCTCGTTCTCTGAAAAGGTATGAATTTTGATTGAAATGAAAATTAACAACTTGAGAAACTGAAAACTCACTATTCAATGACATATTCCTGTAATACTTCTGTAAGCGTTCTCCACGGAATCCAGATTGAGCAAGAGAGCATTTGTGGAATGGAGTCTTTCCACAATCGTCTTGAATGTACATAGAGATGGCTTTCGCGATGATTTTGACAGTGTCCACTACGAATGGAACATAGGATTCCTGCAGACAAAATTAGCTTAATAATCAAGTCCGTAAACCGACAATTCAACTAATGAATGAGAAACAGGAAAAGTTCTCATTCACCGAAGTCTACTATCTACTTCATACTACAGAAACTTTTACACATCAAAATTTGAACATTTTCGGCTAAAAATATGTAGAATTTATAATTTTGGCCGGTACTTTTCAAAGACTCAAATTGAAAAAAGTTAGTGCCAAGTTCAAAGCTCGATCAACGACATTTACCTTCTCGATTTTCAGTTTTAATTGTGTAGCCAACACTTTTCGAAGCCACAAAAAGAAAAATGGGATTTTTGTAGCTCCGGCTAGTTCTTAAAAGTACCCTAGTATTCCTTGATATTTCTACCTGCTTCAACGTAACATTGACCATGTCAAAACAATCCCCAAAAGTTTTGATATCCTCGGTGGCCGAACATCCCAAATACTCGAAAAACTCTTCCAGAAACACAAATCCTTTCGGTGAGAGAGATCGAAAATATTCGAGATATCCTGTCTCTTCTCTAACCATTGGGGCAATTGTGATAGCTCCGTAGGTTCGATGTTCTAGACCTCGAACAACGGACTGTTTGATTCCCCAGGAATCAGAAGCGACGAACCTAAAATTGTTTTCTGTTTTATCATGTTCACTTGAGGGAAATAATTTGACTTTAGTATATTTTCTTCTCTGTCAGTATAATTGAAAATAATTGTCGGAAACGAACCAAAAGTGTCGATCCAGCTCTGTATGCCCTTCAGCTACCAGCACATCCAACGTTTTCAAAAGTCGTTTCAGATTATCCTCATCGACGAACATCACAACTCCACGAGCTTTTCGAGTTCGATGCATTCGGATTAACAAGTCTCTGAAAATGATTTCGTGTTTCACATCAATTAAAGGTGGGGGGACAGGAGATTTTACGGAGGATTTTTGGGGCCAGAGTATGCATTCTACCGTGACGGTGTACAACGCTTAATGTCACTCTGCGTACAGCGGTCGTCCTCGCCTTTATGTATGCAATCAGGCGCCCGCTCCCGTTTCGCCCACGTGGCTCAGTCGGTAGCGGCGCCGCACCTTGAATACTCCCCTCGACAAGTTCAACTCTTAAATAAAATTCGAGAACATTATTTTTTTCATGTCCCCCCACCTTTAAGAAAAATAATTGTGTTTTATTCGAATTTCCACACACGTACCTGAAATTCTTCTCGGTCCACCTCCTCGAAATCTTCTGAACATCTCCATCAATACATATTCCATTTTCAGCGGCAGCCGCTCGAAACGAATCCATTCCTCGTTCTCCATACGATCCCGTATCAGCAATAGCGTGCACATAAGTCCATTCTAGTGCACCGATCTGCAAAAATGTGTAAATGAAAGAGATTAGGGGGAATGAAGACACACCACTCGAGCCATCACTTGTGCTTGCAGATTATCCGGAGGAACCACTCGAGAGAAAAATGCAAAACGTGGCTTCTCGGAGAGTTCAGCTCCTGTTGAACTGTAGCTCACTTGGGGGATCTGGAATATCAATATTTCTGTTTCGGGAAGTTGTGAAGAGTAAGCGTTGGGAGCGTTTAGTTGGTAACAAAATAGGAACGGTTCGCTTGCAAACCAACAAGGTAGTAAAAAACTATTCTCACCTTGAACAACTGCAACATGGAAGCAACCATAACACTGACTTGACTTCCAGCTGCTCCAACAACTGCAACCACTGGTTGTCGTGTATATGATCCAGTTGATCCATCTGCACATGTCACACCATCTCCATTCGACATTACAGATTTGATGAATTCCAGTGTCTGTTCCAGGGCATAGCTGTCTACGGAGCTGCAAGGTAATTGAGTTGTCAGATACTTGAACGAACACTTTCTCATTGTTCATGTATGTATTTAAAAACGCGGGGATACCGTGTTTTTTAATATCTCCAAAAACACATTCCAGACAGTCTCAAGGATCTATGTTTTGGAATTCTCATGACTGTCTTAGTCCTTTGAAACCCTTACTGTCCGTGGCGTTAAATGAACACATGAACACATGTGTCAGTTTAATATAACATTTTTTAGCGTTTTGAAACTGAAAAAAATGCATTCAATCATTTTCAGTCATAAAAAACTACTATGAATAAACCCGGTTTCAAACTTTGGAGAAATTTCCTGCATAATATATGAAAAACAGTGTGTACACTAGAAATTAAAACATGAATAATTTTGTAAAATAGGCCAAACTAAAGCTTCCAGAATGATAACTCGTCCCTAGAATACACACCAATGATAGTCTTTTGTTTTTGACAAATTCCACTCGAATCCCAACTTCTCACCACGTATCCAATATCTGTGCTCCTAAACTGGCTTGTGGCAACAGCTGCCTATCTCGATTGACTTTTTCCAATGCAAATAACATTGCCACCATTCTCTGCACTCCCTGATCTGCCTTGATTTTTCCACACTGATGTGATGCATTTCGACCGGCTTCATGAATTGGAAATAGTCCTCCAAGGACAATTTGTCCGGGTACTGTCACTTGTTTTACTGGGCATACTGTATGAAGAAGTGCTAGGAGAAGAACTAGAAATCGCTGCAGAGGCGGAGGTGTGTGAAGCGACGCGCATGTCATATCCGGACAAGCGACGACGCGATTCTTTGATTTTTGTGATGAGGCGAGGTGGCGGGAATTTTGAAATGTAGGGGGTTCTGAAAATTTGAAAGGTTCTGGCTGTAAGTATTTTAACTAGCACGAAGTCCGGAAAGGTAAAAGAGACGGATAATAAGGATTGGAAGTAGAGTAGAGCGAATAAAAACTCTTTCAAAAATTATTTTTTTAAGTGGGTGGTTGTAAATATTTCAGGAAGCACATATTCCAGAAATACGGATGATGCGATTATTCAGGAATCTTCACAATACGGATAATATTTCTTTCAAAAATTCAATTAAGTAATGAAACAGCGAAAGTTTTAAAATGTTGCTTTAATAAACTCATCGATTTCTATATTCACAATCGTTCAGAATATTCAGAAGTTCGTGACTTTCATTAAAGAATTGCTAATTTTTGTAAGATCAACTCTAATCGGACTAATGAAACAGCGGAAAGTTTAAAATGTGGACAATTATCTACGGACGATATACGGACGATTACGGACGATATAGAAGATGTTAAAGGGGGACTCCGACCAAAAATTTTTATTGCATTAAAATGTGTTAAAAGTTATCTATTTTCCGAATATTATTGCGAAAAAATTCAAAAAAAAATCCGAAATCCCCGAAAAACGGCGTTGAAAAGGAAGAAAATTCAGAAAAAGGTGCCGCCGGGGGACGAGGATTTTCAGTGAGAAACCTATGCCACGGAGACGGACAGCCTATGTGCTGGGACTCCACCGGGAGTGTGCTATTTAAGCTCTCCGCTTCGATATCGCTACCGTATTCAGACTGCAAAAAATACTCTCTAACCTTTTTTTTTCTCAGACAAGCATAATATTGGCGTACAGGCACATTTTTAAAGAACGTAATTTTTGGGTTTCGAAGATTTTATATTTTTTTTTTGAACTGAACCGTACTGTCTGTACAATAAAACGTGGGTGCACCGCAGGTTGCAAAGTGATACGCCCCTTTTTGTAATGCGTTCATATTTTTCTTTTCTCACACGTTTCATAAATGGGCGTGTCGCGTTAGCCCCTCTCCTTGCCCAGATTTTATCGTATAGACAGTATACATCTTTAATTTTCTCTCTACAATACCTCCCACGTCTTCCAGTTTTTTTTCACTTCCAAAATTCTCCTAATCCCCTCCGCATTTTTTTAAATCAAAATCTTCCTCCTTGTGTCATCAAAAGGAAGTTCACGACACATTTTTCATGATAATCCCCTAAAGCATTTCTTTTCGTAAAATACGTAATCTTATCACTAAAAAGAAAAGGAAGAGCTCATTATTTTTTTTGTCTCTTTCTCTTATCAGATATCCTCCATAGATATGCTTTCCCTACTTCTGACTTCCACTACAACACACCTTCATTTTTTGTATTTTTTCATTTTTTTGCCCCTTTCACACTCATTTCTTTTTTGTTTTTATTCCATTGAAGACGTCATTAGAATCTAAAGTTTTACAAATGATTATTGGTCATTTTTCATAGTTTTTTTGAATCATCGTAATCGTTTATATCCTCTGAAGTTTGACGTTGTCAATGATTCTATTTCGTATGTGTTCTGAACAAAAAGGGCGGGGATTATCGACTCTTATCAGTGGATATCCAGATCATCCGGTCCGGGTCAGTGAATCATTTATTTTATTTATCTGTATATTCTTCTTTCTTATTTTTTGTATTCCCGGAAAAAAATACCCCGGAAGCCCTTATTTTTATTGTATACCTCCCATTATTATCTCTCAATGATCTTTGTTGGACCACCAAAAACCTCTTTACACCCCCACACAGAAAACTCTTACGTCGCTTTTCCTACATATTTATCTAGTTACACAACTAGGTTAGAATAAAAAGAGAAAAGACCTTCTCAATAATTCGTTCTAGAATAATTTATGCTAATCTCGATTCCCTCCTGAAAGCTCAAGCCGCCATGTTTACTCAGGAGATTGAGTTGGAAAAAGAAACTTTCTTACTTTTTTCACTTTCTTTCACTCTTTTTGACATTTATCTCTTCTTGTTCTTCTTTATTCTTTTTAGATTAAAGAAGATGAGATAAATGTATTTCTTACTATTAGTATAGCTAGAATAGCCTACAGTGTTAGAGGTGATTTGAAAATTATCACTCTGAATATTTTTTAGGTTTCATGAATATTTAATTTGGCAAATATCTGTTGTCACAGACATATTTACCAGTATTACTGCTATTGCTCCAAGGTACCTTCGAACGCAATTTTTATTATAGGGCCAATGTAATTAGAAGGACTGTTCTATTTTCCGAACATTTTTCCCAATAACTAAAAATTCGGTACATTTTACTTCGAGATTCATCAATTGAAAAAAATTAATGTTTCGCGAATTTCTGGCATTTTTTCCTGAATATGTGTCACAACTCCCCATCCTTCTTATACAGGTTGTACGATGTTTCGACTCTGATTAACAAAGTAATAATATTTATTGATAAAGGACTATATAGTCACTGATATAATCAATATGTAAAAAGAATAGAAATTAAAAGTTAAATTCGTTGAGCGTTAAATAGGGGGATAAGTCAACATGAGTTAAATTAGTTTTAAAAGAAACAGTGGAAATAATGAGAGGGAAAACTGTTTTTGGAAGCGAATTCCAGCATGATACAATACGAAGGGTAAAAAATTGAGAAGTAAGTTTGGACGAATTTTTTAAGGTACAACGAATGTAATAAGGATGACGTCTAAGACTTGAGTGATTGAAGGGAGAAATGAATAGATTATGAGCAATGGCTACTTCCTGGGAAACCAGTATTTTATACATGAAAACTAGATCAGAAATTAGTCTACGATACTCTAGAGATTCTAAGTTATACTCACGGAGACAATTGAAATAAGATACATAGGGATAGTTAAATTTTTTGTAGCATCTATAGAGGAAAGATTTTTGGACGCTTTCCAGGAGCCTGATTTGCTCCTTGATGACGGGAGAGAAAACAATTGTACCATACTCAAGAATAGGGCGGATGTAAATAATGAAGCATTTTACAAAAATATCCATTGTAGACCGGCGATTAGGTAAAAAATGTTAACTGATTATATGATACATCATTTTCGTTGAGATTTTCTTCTAAAAGAACAGAGATAATTTAGTCCAACATTTCCATTTTTCACCGTTTCATTCTTTCAATCAGTAACAGCTCTACAAAATTTACCAATTTTTTGTTGAAAAAAATTGTTTCGCGATTAAGTTTTTTTAAACCATGCAAAAATGCATAATCTTGAACATTAACATTCTAAGGGGCCTTTCTGTTACAGGTTTTACATTGGTTCGGTTCTGAATAGGAAAACCAAAAAAATACCAACTGATATGATTTCATGGTGAATAATTTTCATTTAAAGGGGGACTCCGACCAANAATTTTTATTGCATTAAAATGTGTTAAAATTTATCTATTTTTCAAATATTATTGCGAAAAAATTCAA